AAAAAATGTACATGAGCTTATTTAAAGAACTAATTATGAACAACAAATTTACAGTTTTGTACGACCAAGTTCAAACTGAATGTACGATAGCGGCAGCCAAACCGGATACTTTTATCGGGGTTTTCGAGAAAAAAAGTGTGTACTTGTAGATGTGGATGTGCCTTGTAATCAAAACGTCGTAACGGAGGCAGAGAAGCGTAAGACGCTACAAGAGTATGGAAATTGTGATCAGCCGAATTCGTTCAGCAAAATTTGTGTAAGAACTTCGCTAAACTCCCAGGTCATTCAAAAGACTGGTAAGTGCAAGACATTGACTTCTTGAGAACAGACCACATTTTGCCCAAAGTATTGTAGAGCCATCTACAGTCACCATCTCGATAAGGTTTTTGTCCAGTTTCCCTGATACATTGAGCAAATGCTGAGATGGTCCCTTGTTTTGCTTCTGGACGTAAACGTAGCTTCACTATGCGCACGTTGAACTCTCCTTTTTCTTGTAGTGGTAGTAGAGGTAAGGGCGTGTAACAATTTTGTTAGCAATGCAGAAAATAAAATGTACAGTTCCTTTACTTGCAAATAAGTTTTCTATAACTCGGGAACGAAAATGTCTAGTTTTTGAAATGACACTAATTTCGCGCTTTTTTAAATTTATTTTTATTTATTTATCTTTACTTTTACTTATCTTTCAACTATTTATAGTTAAAATGTTGGGAAGGGATTTTGGAACTCAAGAAAACGTGCACAGATGATCTTCTCCCCCATACTTCACATATAGTTTTTACTGTTTTTTGACTAAATAAATAAATAAATTACAGTAAATAAATAAATAAATTACAGTCCATAGATCTGCTCCTTAGGAAGCTGGTTGCAACACGGAGTAATAATAATAATAATAATAATAATAATAATAATAATAATAATAATAATAATAATAATAATAAACTCACCTACGTGATGTATTGACAGTTATTAACACTCCACTTTTCCTTCGGTAATTATTATTCATCTTCTCTAGAGAATAACTTTTCTACTCCTACAAGGAGGCAAAATCGTGAAATGGGTCTTCAAAATAAATTTTGAAGAATGTCATGTTCAATACACATCAAGCTTAAACTATTAAATGGTGGAGGTGCCATGTAATTTTGTAATTCGTCTTTTATTATGTTCAACTTAGAAAATGAACTTTTTCTAGAAGCATTGTTCACAAATAAAGTGATTTTTTTGTGATTTGAAACGGAAATTTCATATTGAGGAATGCTGGTAAAATAATCTCATTTTCAGGTAACTGTACGCGTTTTGAATATTGATATTTTTTCATTATCTCCAGCATATTTTTGGAAATATTTTATGTATACTTTTTAGATATGCAGCAAAGTAGTGACATTCAAATATTACATTTGCAGCAAGCAAGACTTCACTATAAAAATTTGCAAGGGTTTCGCAATATTTTGAAATTTCTAAATTCTCTAACTCATGTAGACATTCCAAAAAACCGAACCTATTGACAATATCTACATATGCTTTACTTCGTAATTCTAGAATAGAAACCAGTGTAATTATTGGCAGGAACGTCTCTACTCTGAACTATTCTCTTCCCAGAAGTTCCTCATTACTACATCCACTATCTGCAAATGCAAGAATGGAGCTATGGTTTATTTGACGGCTTTGTGAACCATATTCTTTCACAACTGATTTCGCTTTTGATTTCGACTCATAGTCGTCAAAATCATCTCTTCTCTTCCTAATAAATACTGTTAATGACTTCAGCATCTTAAATGCTACAGACAAATTTACGTTTTACTTTTCCGTATACGTAGTACGTATATAAGGAGTAATATACGTAGTATAGGGAAAGTTGTGCAATGTGACGTAAAATCTATTTCAAGATTTCAATGGAAATACACTTTTGGGTATCCCTGATATAAAAAAGTGGTTCTTTTCGAAACGTCCGTCCGTCTGGCTGTCTATATGTCTGTCCGTCAGTCTATGAACACCACAAGCGCCAAAATCATGCGCACGATTTTTTTCAAATTGAAGAAACCACTGGCTCGAGTCGAAGCTTTTAAAAAATTTGAAAAACTCTCTTTAAAGTGTAAGGGTACATTACGTGAATCACCTAGGACATTTTCAAAATTTTCTCAAAATCGATTCCAATTTTTTCTTTAAATTTATTGTAAGAATTCAGTAAAACACACCTATGAAGGTGGCATAGGTCCGATTTTCACTGTTATATCTGAATTTTCGAAAATTTAAATTTTTTCGACGTCAATTACAAAATTGAAGATAGAGATTTTTCTTTGAAATGAAATTTGTTGTCCATAATTAGTTCTTTCATTAAGTTCATGTATACTGTTTCGAAAATTTGAATAATTTTCGCGCAATTTACGAGCAATATTTGCAATTTTAATAAATTACAAAAACAAGATCTCAAAAACGGCTCAAAATTTTTTCTTTAAACTTGTCCTAGGGATAGTGCTAAATGCCCTCTATAAGATAACACGACATATTACTATATTCTTTTGTTTCTTTCAAAAAATACAAAAATGTAATTTTTTGACTTTGCTTTAACGTTGTTAGCATTTATATTAGTGGCAATTGGTTTACATTATCGTATTTATGAGTACATAGTGCTTTAAATACCATCACATAAATTTCCCCGAAAACACAAGTTTTCTATGGAGACTGGCTCCAAATTGTTTCTTATAACTTTTTGAATGGATAGTGCTGGTTGCACTCTTGAATATGACGTAATGATCATTTCTGAGTATTTTTTTGTTGTTTCAAAAATTAAAGAATTGTAATATTTTTGAAAGATTTCTCGTGTCGTTAATGTGCATATTTCCAGCAATTTATAAACACTATTGTATTTGTGACTTAAAGTGCTTCATAAAACTTCAAGAGAAGTTTTTCGAAAACTCAATACAAGTTTTCTGTGAAAAAGAGGTTCAAATTTGGAATTTTCAGTAGCGCTATTTTCTTAAAAACGGCTGAAATTTTTTAAAAAGTTGCCATTTAATACGAGGTTTAACTGTTCTTTATTGCTCATAAAATAATATTTCCGTTCTATTGTTAGTAAACCGAAAAATTAAGAAAATTTCAAAAAAAATGTCCTTTGTGTAGCGATAAATGGCAGCTGGCAAGAGTATGTGGCAAGTCCGAACAACTAGCCAAGACCATAGGAAATAGAAAACTACTATGGGAAAGTCTCTGCCATTCTGTCGTACCATTGCAGTAGTTTACTTGCTACTTTAAATATATCGAGGATTTCATTCCCCAATATAGTTAAAAAAAAGTCAAGTTTATCAAAAGTAGTTCTCTAATCCTTGAGCTTTAATACATGTCTGTGACGACTGAATTGTCACATCATTTCTTATAGACTGAAGATATAATCTGATTTCATTATATCCTTAACATAAAGCATTTACTGCATCTGCCTGCGTAGACAATCTAGTATCAGAAAGTTGTTTCACCACTCTATGATGAGGATTTGAATTTGAACAAAGTATTTCCCGGCGGTGTGCTGACGATGAAAAGGTGTATGAATATTGTACCAAATCAAAGTAAATTGTCACAGCTAAAACACACTTGAGATCATGTACCCCTACTAAATTGAGTGAGTTTCCAGCACGTGGTACATACTTAGCATACTTATTTAGATCTTTTATCTGTGCTTGTAACCCTGAACATCGCCCAGACATGTGTGCTGCGTTGTCCTAAGACTGGCCCTTACCATTCAGGATATCTATGTATTGTTTTTTAAGACGAGTGTCCCAACTTCAGTAATACGACAATGAATAGGAATAAGCTGCAAAAATCGCTCTTTTGGAGCAGCTTCTTTAACATAACTTACTATAAAAGTAAGTTGATCAATATGTGTCACATCCGGAGTGAAATATGTAGGAATAGCGTAGTATTTTGGTGTTTGAATTTCCGAAATGATTACTGAAAGAACTTTAGTCCTCATTATTTTTTAGTACTTTTCATAAATGGTGTAGTTATTTTCACGTTGGTAAGTACGAGAAAGTAAACTAATGGTGCTACTGTATGGCACAGACTTTCCCGAATTAGTTTTCTATTTCCTTTGGTCTCGGTTAGCTATACGAACTTGCCACATATTCTTGCCAGCTGCCTTCTATTATATCACCGCCCAAAGTACATTTTTTGACATTTTCTTATTTATTCGATTTCATTATGATAGAACAGAATTATTATTTTAAGAATATTAAATTACCCTTAAATCTTCTCTTAAACTCAAAAAAATACTCTAAATTTTCTGTGAAAAGGAGCTTCAAGTTCCGAATGTATAGTACCGCTTAAGCGCCACTTTCTTAAAAACGGCTGCAAATTTTTCAAAGAAAATAGTATTTTTTGACGAGATTTTACGCTTCTTTTATATTTATAAAGTAATATTTGAGTTCTACTATTCGGAAACAGAAAAATTGAGAAAATTAAAAAAAAAAAAAAAAAAAAAACATGTATTTTGGCCGGCGATAGATGGCAGCCGGTAAGAGCAAGCTCAAATAGCTAGCTCAGAGCAAAGAAAATAGAAAACGAGACGAGAGAAAGTCTGAAGCATTCTGTTGCACCACTAGTTATTTTTGACCTTCCAAAGCACAATTGTTGCACAAAACGTTTTTAATTCCAAGGGTGCAATCATATTTTTTATTTACAAATGTATCCCTTAAATCAAACACAGATAGTTATTGTTTATATTTTATTGTTGTGAATTTTAAAATTCAAATTATTATTGCCTTGCAAATTATTGTATCTAGGCGTATTCCGTAAAATTCGTTTAATGTTTTGGTTTATACCAAATATTGTTTCAGATTGTCCGTAAATTCCTATTAAAACTAATGTAAGTAAAAATTCTTAACATAAGTGCGCGACTGGTATGATCTTTCCTTATTACGTAAACCCTTTAAAAGTTGTCAATGAAAATCTTAATATAGAAAAACGGAAATTGTCACAATTTGATTCAATACAAGAACACTCCAAGTTCCTTGTATCGATTGTTGACGCCGGAAGTGACAGCATGCTCTGTCACCCCACCCTCATTTTCACCCTTCCCGGACCAACTACGCTGCCCTTCTGTTTTATACGTCGTATGTAATATCTTACACTACATTTTACCAGGAATGTTAAGATTATCGATCATACTGGATGACTGATAACTAGAAGATAAGGATTCTGTGACAATCAGTAGAGTTACAGAATAGCCCGCATGGGCAATGTTTTTGGACAATACAGTAGGACGGATGCCTTCGATACCCACAAACTGGGCAATTGAGTGAATTCTGGAGAATTTCTCGAAGTACGTCCATAATTAAAATGTGATTTATTCACAATCTCTAGAATACTTTAATTGTGTTGACAACCAGGAAATTTGCCGCTTTGGTGTGTTTAGTGTCATATTTGGGCTTCATTTGCATGCTGTATGCAAATACAAGTTTTCGTCGATACTACAGATCAGATTTTTTAGGTAAGTTGATTCTTGGATTGTTTTTACAATCGATATTGTATTACTGCATACTTTTTAGCATTCATATCCTCGGTGTACTACTTTCTTCAACGAAATATCGACGATGACATTTTGCTTATGTGGATTAATGGGGAAAGGTATGGACAAACACATGAAACGAAATCCGCTGTTTAAAATATATTCTTTACTTTTTTTTTTTTTTTTTGGTGTTGAATGTATATTTTATTAGCGAAATATTAAATGCTGTATATATTTAAGACGCAGAGATACGTGTAATTTGTATGTCGTTATTGTTTTTTAATACGTATTAAGAATTTGATGTAGTTGGCATGTAGTTCTGCAACACGTTGATTCTAAAAGGAAGCAAAAAACATTGGTATGTGGTGTTTGGCCTGTGAATATGCCGGGAAAATGTCAATACTTGTGAGGCGTGCACGAATTTTTAAGAATTGAAGGCATTTGCTGCAGTTCAATTTTTTTTAAACAATGTAGATAATTTAATGTCTACCGGCCCTTTCAGGAATTTAGATTCACGTGCAGAACCTTTTACCATTAATGCTATTTGTTATTTATTTTGTTTTTTTTCCCGTCTAAATAACTATAAGCGGGGCGTCTGCTGTGGTATTTGGTATCGAACTTGCAAATGCAATTTTGCGAGGAAACTAACAAAGGACAGAAACAAATGTAATGCTCAGAATTATGTGGAAATCGTAGCGGGTGCATTCATTGGGAGATATGATTAATGAAACAGTTGAATTGCCTATCAATGAATGGTGGGCGGAATGGAAGCGTACGGTTGACAGATGATGGGAGAGGGGCGGGAAACAAGATTGTGCCACTGAAAGAGGGGGTGTGAAAGAACTCACGAGAGGATGTTGGGAAAAAGGAACAGTCGCGTGAGGTTATGCTCGAAACTAGACCAGAAAAGTTACTGCATTCAGGTGAAGAATTGTGCAGTGTCTCATTCGGTGTTTCCATTGATTTCGTAGCTGTTTCTCCGTAGTGTTTGGGACATCATGAAAGCTACTACAAGTTGCGAAATATTTGATTCAGGTGATTGTTTTGCGTATAGTGCACGAAACATGCCCTTAATGTGGAATAATGGCACATTTTTTCATCCAAGATTAAGTTTTTGTGATATCGTTATTATTGAATGACAATTTTCAATTCTTAAGATAATCTAATTCAGAATTAACTATTTACAGACGATGATATAATGAGCACAGAAATGTTTTGAACTATCTATTCACCTTGAAAATGAACATGAATACCATGGTTGAAACCAGAGAAACTGTAATGACTTGGAATGATATTGGAAAGGCTTGGTATGCTAATTGGCAATTAGCAGCCTTAATTATTATAGGCGCAGTGGGACTTCTAACTGCTGTAGTGGTAAGTTGTTTTTTTTTATGGGTAGGAGGGTTTATTTATGTTTAGAAATGTAGAATATGAAAATTGGTGCCTTCCAACATGCACTGGACTGTTGCTTATTGAAAAACTTATTACTTGCACTAATGCTTATAGATTTCAAATTACTTTTTCATTTATTTCCATAGCTGATAATTTGCTTCTAACGCTGAACGACAAGGCTTGTATTTTATACTTACTATGTAAACGCTATCTTTTCAAGGAAAAAAAAATTCTGATGCTAATTATAAAATATATATTTAGAATGTATGATTTTGAAGATGTATTAAGTGTTAGCTTTGTTTGAATAAGTTTGAAATGTATCGTATTGATGAGAAATAAAAACATCCCAAACCCGAATGTAATAACATTTCGTATGAATTTCATGCATTTTTTTTAAAAAAAATTTGTAACTCCTGGATTATTAGTCATTTTCTGTTTGCAGGCTAAACATCACCGATAACTTTTAAGAGCAAATATTCTACACACATCACCCTAATTTCTTAAATAATGTTCTTATCATAATATGGGTACCTGTAATCTTTAATGGGGAACAAATGATGACATGCATAGGCTACTGGTAAACTTGCTGGTACTCTATTGCTGTTAATCATGTGTTATTGGGAAACCAACTCTTTCCTCAGTTTGGCTTCTGACTCTGTACGTAAAGTTTTTAGACATATTTTTGGATTTTATATATATATATATTACATCTGATGTTACTACCTATTGTATTCCCGATTTTTTTTCCTAAAGCCCTACAATGTCTTTCTATCTGGGTATTTAATTTATGTATGCAAATTGTATCTCATTATTCAGTAGTTCTGATGGATTTTTTTTTAAATGAACATGGAAATAAATATAATTCTGAACATTTTACTTGCAATTGTAGGTCATTTTAAGGAATTAAATGAGGTCGTTTAAGAAGCATACGTTTGATTTGCTTTCTTTGCCTGAGCATGATGTGCAAAATTAATTAGTGTGGTGCTGATATGATATTGTAGGGTGATTATTAGTCATCCCTGTCAGTTCATCATTAATTATTTTGTCCTAAATTGTTAAATTATTGTGTTAACATTATTATTCTGTAGTAATTTCCTAAAATCATTAGATGACACTTTTTTCAGATCCAGTCATTTTTAGAGAACGTATTTTGCCCAGATTACTATCAATGTTTTCCCAGTTTTGGACGACCTTACTTCGAATATCAACATACTTCAATAGGGTAAGCTATTGCAAATTTTAGAGAGAGGAGATGGCAGAAAGAATTTAGATGTGCATGTTGCCTTCTGGGAATACAGTGCTTTTATGTTTAGTTCACTGTTTGAATTCTTATTGATATTGCTAAATGTTGCAATATTTTATTTTGTAAAGCTCAATATATGGCAATGTATAGAAACAGTAAACTTAACTTTCTAATTTAATGCATGCACATATGCTCAAGCTACAGGCAAATCACAAATATTTTTTTAAGTATGTATGAGTGAAAAAATTAAGAATTTTGGGTGGTTCTTAAACCATTGTTTGGCAAATTATTTGAAGAGCGGCATTGTGTAGGAATTTTTGCTTTTTATATGGTAATTTATGAATATTAGAAAAGAGAGGTGGGAAATTGTATGTACAGGTTGTTGTGGTAGACGTGGATGCTTATCTTTCTATTGTGGTTAGCACATTTCCTGGTTGTTTAGGAAGTAGATTGCTCATACATCTTCTGTACATTCACTGAAGAGTTCAGATAACATCTCCATTATGTCAAAGTGCTGAATGTTTCATCAAATAGAAGTTATTGTGAGTGAATGAAACCAATACTTCTGGATGCTTTTGCTCATTCTGATCTTCATGTAGGTGTGATTTTTATTAATATTATTATTATTTACATGTATTAACTACTAAATATAAGTGTTAGATCATCCTTATTTGTTTCTTTGTATGCTGGAAGGCACCATTCTTTTTTTTCTCCAGTTTGCTTGGATAATATTTTAAGATATGTTCTAAATGTTTGAAAATGTCCAAGAAATAAAAAAAAAAGAAGAAATTAGATCTTAATCATGAAAATAAACAATTACATCTGCAGCTTTTCTTTATTTTTCAGAATGATTTATGTTTAAAAACTTTAATATCTCAAAGTTAAATGTGCCATTCAGTGGTGATGTTCAGAATATTACAAATTTTATTTAAAAATTAAAAATATAAATTGACATAGATTAGTGAAAATTGAAAGAAAACTAGAATAAATAAATATCAATTTCTTTTTTCTTCCTAATAAAATTAATAATATTGTTATTCTGATGCAACTGCTTACTGCCTTGTATAATTTTTTAAAATGTTTTTGCACATTTGTTTTCAGGTGTTACTATGGCTCAAGAACCAGATGTTGTCCACCAGCAAGCACAGGGAGCTAGCTGGTGGGAGATCGGAAAGCCAGGAGTGGATTTTTCACCCGGTTATGAAACCACCCCTAGAAGCATGTGATTCAGCTGGAGTCCAACCTGTGTCCAGCCTTCCTTCTCTTCCAGAAGTGATGACTAGGCAGGAGGAAAGAAGACCTGAGCCAAGACGCATAAAGGCTAAAGGGTTGTTGGAACGAAGGGGCTCCTCAGCGAGTCTTACTATAGATCTGCATCCGAGTCAGGAGAACTTGGCATCAGTTGCGATCCCTACAAGGGAATGGTGAGTCTTTGAAGGTCAAGTAGAGTGTGGGGGTGAAAAAAAGAGGGTAACAGGTCAGAGATAGTTTTAAATCGTAAGGTGATGGTTTTTTCAACCTGTGTGGTCTACAGATTCGTAGTGGTCAGAAACAGAAGGACCAGTAGTTTGAAGATCTCAATTTCTGTAAACACAGACTTGCTGTTTTTATGCAAATTAAACAAAGAAACTACAATTTTGATATTCTGTATATTTTCAGTTGGTGGATGATAAATAATGTTAGGGAATGTGATGATCATCATCCAATGTTTTATAAGCTTTCCTTTGGGTGAACATCACTCTTTGTTTTAAGGCAGTAGGCACATTCACTACACACTTTGTTTTCTTTCTCCTCCATACGCTTTACTTGCAAACAGTATTTCTAGACTTGTAGAAGAAGCTGGGATATATGTTTTGCTCATCCCGTTTGCCAACATTATTTGTAATTTTCCTTGAGGTGTGCAAAAATAATAAATTATATATAGATTTCATTATATCCAAAATGGTATTCTATTTACCTTGAATATTCTCATTATGAATTTGCTTGTAATTTTTTTATTACGAAGTAGCAATTAAATCTAGTGGGAATGCAGGGGGGGTGTCACATAGCCCTATGTAATGAAATGTTTTATTTCGATAAATATCACGAATTTCTGCTTTTCACTCTGACAATTTGAAGAATTCAGACATCCCATTTGGGGAAGATGCTCTCCAAAAAATTTTATAACCCAGCAAACTGGTGCAGCATAATACCAGTTGGATTTACAGGATGGCCACTATCTGGAAAACTAGGAATCTTTTCTTGAATAGAGCAGTAAAAATCGTGCAGGTCTCCTTATCGTTGAACTCTCAATTTTCGAAAATTGCAGAAGTTGCGAATAATGTAACTACATTTCTCCTCATGCTAGCTGCAGAATCAAGGCAAGGAGAAATATGAATTAGCAGTTCACAACTCCATAATGCGAATTTAAAGTTAATGGTTGTTAAGGGAGAGACTGTGGACAATTACACCAGAAAAAGATGGGGTTGCTGAACGAAATGTTCAGAGATTGCATCAAATGAAAGAATAAAAACACAAATTCAACACGAATAATTTTCTGGTTGCCTAAGAAATCAGAGGGCGATCTAGTTTGGGAGGAGGACAAGAAATAATCAACAATAGACGAGAAGGTGAAGATTGTAGTGACAAAGACAATACTGATTTTAATGAAAAAGAATGTAGATACAGCTCAGGCAATAAAATGTTACTAGTAAATTTTCAGTATTAAACTTCACTGAATAGTAATTATCAGTAAGGGGAAGGGGTTATGGAAGGATGCGTTGGTGTATGAAGGACTGGGAATGCTTCCATGCCGTAAACACAATTGTAAACATCCCTGTCTTATACAAGAATGAAAGTTGCAGAAATGTAGTAAGTAAATACAGTGAAAACAAGTACTGCCATTTGAATTATGGCCTTAAGTTTCTTTTTGAACTCTGTTCCCTAACACATATCACGTTCCTATCAGTTTGAAACAAACATTTTTTAAATATTTCATATAAATATGCGAGATAATTTGGAAAGTGCATTGCGAGGAAATACAGTTTTAGGTCACTTGTGAAACTAGTATGATTTAAAATTAAATGTTTATAACATTGTTCTATTATTATTATTATTATTATTATTATTACAACAATTTGGTACTATAATAAAATTTACGTTTTTTAACTTAAACTTTTGCCTGTTTACTTGTGCATTCCATTCAGCATCTTTCTTTATCTTTGATTTTGCGAAACTGAAAAAAAATATACTGTTATGGCGTATAATTTCCATTATATACTAAATTATTGTTTTTAATAATGTAGTGTCGTAGATAAATATTTTTCCAATATTTCTTTTAAAGATGTAACGTTAAGGCTCGAAGTCGTAATGACTCCTTTGGGTGTTTTGAGGGGGATTTGTGAGCTGGTCGTTCTAGTGTTAATAATAATAATAATAGTAATAATAATAATAATAGTAATAATAATAATAATAGTAATAATAGTCATAATAATAATAGTAATAATAAATATATACAATAAATATATAATGATAATAATAACAATAATAATGATGATGAATATAATGATGATTTTTCTGGCTGCTTTCTTCATACATCGTTTCGCAATCATTGCAATACGCCCTTATAAAACTCAAGAGTTTACAGTTCTTCCCCTTGGAAGGAACTCTGATCGCACTATGCCCTCACTATCGAAAAAAACAATCAGCATTACCTTGATGATGGACTTTGACTCGCATGCCTTTTTAGAGTGAGGAGATGTACTGACTTTTCCTTTGGAAACTCATCAGTTAAAATACTTTGATTGGAACTGTACGAGATGTGAAGGTTCATCTGTTTTTTGACGTTACTGGATGTCCTGCAAACTGCTAGTCTTCAACAGACCCATTTCCGTCTTTAAATTGGTCATACCTCTTATACACAGTCTTCAGAGTTACCACATTATCGCCATACACCGATTTTAACATTTCATGAGCTTCTTTGGCATTTTTTGCAACTTTAAACAAAACTTATTGTTAATGAGTTGTTCGAAATCTGTGTTGTGACAGACACAATAAACTCAAGTTCACTCTAGCGGCTCTGGCAGTTCACTGACAAGTTTGAACGTGTTATAACTTGTCCCTGCGTGTCACAGCTGATCGTGCTACTGGACAAATTACAGCATATGGATGTAGGGTCAGCAGTTACCGCCATTAAAATTCATTCACCATAATTTTTTACCACACCTCATACTTCATTAAAGTTTGAAGGTCTTACTGAATGTAATCACTCCTATCCAAATCATCGTCCTCAGAAGAGCAAACCATTCCTTATTGTGCTCTTTCCAATGATGCTGTTCCCATACACAATTCAAAAATTCCTAGCTTCACCCCTCTACTGACTCAGAGAAAGAAATATTTGAGCTGTTCCTCTTTATCTTCTAGACACACAGTTTTCTTATCGTTTCATCGACATTCAATAACCCCAACAATTCAAAATTTAATATGCAACCTGAGACACAATAATTACTAGAACTACAAGAAAAAAATTATGTATATCCCACTACAACGGGAACACCAACATGCCGAACAAAGTAGCTATGGGGTTATGCACCAAACCAAAAATAAGAAAAATAATGATGATAATTATGTCATTTATAGCACCTGGATGTTTAGTTGTGGTGTACTGTGTCATTTTGTTATTGCTTCAGATGTGTCTGAAAGATTGTAAGCTTTGTTTTTATGAATTCATGGATCATTTTGAAATGTCATTGTCCATATCTTCTGTTCAAAAAGTAAAAGAATTCTATAACACAACTTTCATTTTGGTCGAAATTACAATGTAATGAATTTATTCAGTAAGCTCTTAGATTATTATTGTAAGGATGGAGGTAGAAGCATAGAGGGCTCAATTAGTAATCCATTTTGATCTCAAGAAATAATAGTTATTACTACAGAATGGCATAAGACTTTCTAGTACTAGTTATTTTTCTGTTTCTTTATTCATGGTAGAATCATCTACCTATCGTAACTCTGTGGTGGAGATCAGAGCACTTTTGCTCACCTTGAACATTGTGTAGTGTTATGGATCATAAACTTGTAATTTAAAATTTCTAATAATTAAACCCTTTTCTGTTTCACCCCACACTTTAGCGAGTCAAAATTTGTAAACTAAAAACAATTTACTACGTTACGCCAACTTTACACCCCTAGAGTACAAATTTATAAATTTTGTATGGATACGCGAAGTCGCTCCTGTACAGGAAACTGAAATATTATCATATTGATTGGGAACCTGGCTCTCTATGTTCTTTCTCCGATCATTGGCTTTATATTACCTGCTAATATATACACACAAATTTTAACAATGCCATCAACATGAGCAGCAATTATTCATTGACACACACCAGATTTCAAAATGCTACACAGCAAATTCTGCACTCCGCCTCGTATACACCAGCTTTCTATAGCACCAAAACATAACATGACACATAAAATTTGCCCTTTAAATACAACAACATATCTTGAAAAGAAAAAAATTCATACATATTTAAACTGCATTCATTAATGTGAGTGCACTTGCTTTGAGACAAAAAATTGAACTCTAGTGGCCATTACTAATAATCACTTAGTTGGTTACAATCTTGGCCTTGTTATAAGAGTACTGTAGAATTGCTCTGGTTGCTGAACCTTGTAAAATGGCGCTGTCTCTGCTGCTATGATTATTTGCACCTTCTCGTTACAGGTACTATCCTTTTCTGTTCAAACTCCAAATCGAAACAATCACGGACTGTGTTCCTTACTATAGAACACCACTCTGACATCCAACCAACTTTTACATGAAAACTCCAGATTCCACTTCTGCCTCGATGTCAGCACTACCAGATCGCTAACCTGTCGGTCTATAGGATTGTTGTACACCTTCCTCCTCACTGTGTAGTTTTAAAACAAAGGACAGCTCTTCCCTTCTGTCAAATTCACTGTACATTTTTGAATTGCAATTTTTATGTCTTTTGGTCTCCACAATTTCTTCATTATAATACTTTCTAATTAAACTTCAAATAATAAATTTAATTACCCTTCATCTTTTACAAATTCCTAATATTTTATTGTCTAAACTTTTGTGTTATTGCCCATATCTTATATCCTTCACTTATGTTTTCTAAGCATACGAACATTAATTCATTTAATAAAAGATTTTCAATATTATATAATAACCCAGAGTTCAAGTGACTGTGTATCCTTTGTTTATTTATTTATTATTGTTATTCTAACAGTTCTTTGTTTATTTATTTATTCTTCCCAAGTCAGCTACCAGCATAGTTCCTTGGATTTTTTTAGAAATAAACACTTTGTATTTCTCCCCTTGAACACTGTTTACCTTTTTATTGAGTACGTAAGTTTTTAGTTATCTTATTGCATCTTTCTAGTAATCATTGTGATGCGTCCAAATGGACCGTCATAGTAG